TATTCACCGTATTTATCAAAGTTTGCAAACTGAATTAATTAATACACTCTCTCTGATTAATTGTGCTGTTTATGATGCGTTTTCGTTACAAAGTATGACTTGATTCTGCATTTAAAATTAGCTCTAGATGACAGATCCCCTTAACGATCAACAGGAAAACACAACTATGAATTCTCTTTGAATACTAATAACCGAGTTTAAAGTTCATCATGGCCTGACTGCTGAACCTAGAATCGGCTCTAAGCAAGTGCACTCCTCAACGAAAAATAGTACAAAACCAAAATTATGTATTCGCATTAAATTATTATAATCTACTTTAAAGTTCTGTCTGACTGCCCCACCCAGGAACCTTCCTATTTGTGTACTGTTGAAGTACTGAGGAGTCTTAGGAGACCTCTCCAAAGACTCTTCAATCTTCAACAGTACACACCGAACTATGTACGCATTGAATTATGATGGTGTTCTAAACTTTACTGTGACAAAGACTTGGTTTTATTATTTATTATGCCTAACTATTACAACTACTCGTACCTTGATTGGATACAAGAAACCTATAATTAGTCATCTTAGCGCTTTATTTACGCTTTACATACATAAACTTGATCCGCTGGCGTGGTTCAATTATAACTATTAATATAATTATTCTTCCAAGATTTTATTGTCGTGCAATGATCATGTCACTCTTTTTATTAAAGAAATAAATATATTTAACGGTCACTCATGCCATGCCTCAACCTCAACCTGTACCATTTTTATCACCTGTAACTGCGTTGTGGATAATTTCCAAGAGGACATACTACTACATAGGACTACAGACATACATGAAACGGACACAAATAACACCCAGACAACAATTTGTGGATCACACAAAGTGTTGCGCAATGTGGGGATCAAACCCACACCACTCAGCGCAATAGGATGACCGCTTCAGCCACTACGCCATCCGTGCAGTGTGGTGACGCGTTCAACTAGGTGCATACCCAAAATTCATTATATCAGAACGTTTAGTTAAAATACAATTGTAGGATACAGTTCCCTATTTTCTTTTTTTTTTCCCGTGCGGAAATCCGCTCGGATACCACCTATCGGTGGCATGTCGGACTCGAACCGACTAAAACCGCACGCCGTCTCGGGTACTAATAGCAGGATACAGTTCCCTAACATTTTCAACGACTTATCACTCACCGATTAACAAAACTCTTTTTTTCATAAAATAGAGGGCACACGAACAGACACATCACCTGATAAAAAGTGTCTTCTAACCCCAATGGACAACCGCAACCCAGTCAGTCAACCCAGTCACAAGCGCGTAGCCATCTGAGGGAACGACCCCTTGAGCTAGGAGTAGGAGAGCGGTAGAGCCAGCGGTAACTTCGTTCTCTTTTTTTATGATATAATTAGGCAAACGAGCAGACGGGTCACCTGATGGTAAGCAACTACCGCCGCCCATGGGCACCTGCAAATCATAAGTCACAAGTGCGTTGCTGCCCTTGGAGTCCCTGCCGCTCAAGACAAAAAACAAAAAAAAATCTCTCGGTAAAATGCAAAACATGCAAACATTCATTGTTTGACAACGGTTTATTGTGAGGACGTGGTATCACTCCGGTCGAGGCAGCCCAAAAATGCTGAAGAGTGACTCTCCCAATAATCAATCCCAATTATTTCTAGAGACCATCAAAGAGTCAAAAAACATAAAACAGTCAACTGTTTAGTTACCGTCACTTAGTATTTAGTTTATAAAGCAAAGAAAAACTTAAATATAATGCAAGATTTATTGTTTTCTGGATATACTAAAATCATAAGAAACTTTGTAATCCACATATATCTACAAAAGAAGAAACTGACAGACTAAGTCACTGACGGAATAAATGTTCCTTAGGTAACCTAGGTGGTCAATAAGAAAGGATTTTTAAAAATATCATCCCTAAGAGTGCAAATGGGGGTTGGAAATTAATATGAAATTTCGTTATTTTTGGTAGTATCGTCTTTAAACTCACAGTAAATACTATTTATTAAAAGTAATAAAAAACGATGTTACCATTTTTTCAAAACTTCCCTTAAAAACGAGTTCAAGTTTGTATTGTATTATATTTCTTTTTTTTTAACTTATCGATTCCAAATTGTATAGTTATAATAATAATTAGACACCTATTGTTGTTACTTAATCAGGCCAAAACGGTTTTCCGGATCTGGACGAGATTTAGCACTTAGATAGATTATAATCTAGAATAGCACAGAGGCAAACAAAATTGACATTTACACGAGCAAAACAGATGGCAAAATCTAGTTCTTTATAAAAATATGGGATTACAAAGTCTGTCAAGAAAGTACCGGGAAAAGATCAATAATACACAAACTGTTTGTTATTCATCCAAATTTATTTTATCACCTTCAAAGTATGCTCCTTCAGAAACGATACACTTAAGCCAACGAATAATCAAAACATTTTTTAAAGGCTGTTTCCGGAATTGAGTTCAGTTCTCGCCGCAAATTCTCCTTTATGTCTTCTACTGATTGAAAACGGGTGCCACGAAGTGGTAATTTGAGTTTAGGAAAAAGAAAGAAGTCGGCTGGTGCCATATCTGGTGAATATGGTGGTTGCTCGATGGTATTTGTTGTGTTTGGTCAATAATTTGTTCACAATGATGGCCTTGTGCGAAGGCGCATTATCGTGGTGCAAAATCCAAGAATTTTCTTTTCACAAATCTAGCCTTTTAAATGCCGCATAACGCTCAAATAATATTCTTTATTTACCGTTTGACCTTCCGACAAGAATTCCGAGTGCACAACACCACGATAGTCAAAGGAAGTAGTCAACATGCCTTTGACTTTTGATCGACTTTGGCGCGGTTTTTTTCGGCTTCGGTTCAGTTGGAAGGCGTGGCGCCGAAGCTTATTGACTAGTTTGCATATCAAACTCGTAAACCCACGTCTCGTCACCAGTAACAATGCGTTTCATGAATGTTGGGTCGGAATTGACTCGTTCTAGCAAGTCCTCAGCTACTCTCATGCGATTGAGTTCTTGGAGAAAATTCAGGTCTTTTGGGACTAGCCGAGCGGGAACATGTTTCATACCCAAATAATTCGTTAAAATGGTACGGATCGGATTTTCAGTGACTATTTCCTTCACTTTTGGGATGTTAACTTCAGTTGCAGACGTTGATGGCCTACCAGAGCCAGGCAAATCATCCATCACATCTCGACCGGTTTACAACGCTTTGTACCACTCGTAAGCACGTGTTTTTGATAAAGTCGATCCACCGTAAGCCTTCTGTAACATTTTCAGTGACTCCGAACACGAAATTCCATTGGCGATGCAAAATTTAAGACAAACTCTTTGTTCGATGTTTTTGTCCATTATGGAATTCGCAAACACACACTAGATATGATATAACTAAAAACAGCACTGTATTTAATTTAAATAACAGATGCAACTCAAACTCCGTGCAAAAATGGAAAACAGTTGTGCCAATCTAACAACAACAAGAAAAAAACAAAAATTTGAATTTGGAACCGATACTTTTTTGACTGAATGTTTACAATTTTTCGTCAGTTACGCTAAAAGAGATAGGTAAAAAGCGAATAATTTAAGTTTCAACCCACCAAATAGACTTACTGCCCATATAAATATTTAGACACTCTCTGCTCTTGCATCATAATTTTCTACCGCTACGTTACATAGGCCGTTGAAAATATAAATTAGGATAATAATTCCACGTAGTAGATTTAATTAGAATAGAAATAGAATAATAGAAAGAAGAAAATAGAAGAAAGAATATAATAGAAATAGAATTTAAATCCATAAGCTTTACACACAGGCTTAAATAAAACTTTATTTGCATTAAAAACCGGTCAGGTACGATTCGAACTCGGGCGCCGAGGGTTCCTTACCTACCTAGATTTTATCTAGATTTTCGCGAAAATTTGTAAGTACCAAAATTTATCTTAACTTTCAACTTTTTTTATTTTTTGGAGTTTTCCTTTAATTGTGCTGTGAGACGTTTCTTTTTGCCAAATTTCGTGATTCTAGGTTAACGGGAACTACCATTTAAGTTTTCGACCTAAAACCTATAGGGACTTCCGGTTGACCTAGAATTGACAATTTTGGTTAAAAGCAAGATCTTACAGCACAAGTAAAGAGAAAATTTTAAAAAAATAAAAAAAGTTGAAAATTAAGGTAAATGTTGTTACTTAGGTACAAGTTTTCGCGAAAATTGAAATTTGCCCATATCTTTTTATGGTGTTGACAGGACCTTGAGTTTTATACACCTAATAGGGACCATAGACCTCAGTATCTGGTATAAATTTCAACTTGCCAGGTTTACCCATTCCTGAAAAAATTGGTGGTGACACACGGACAGAAGGACAAGAAAGTGATCTTATAAGGGTTCCTTTTTACCTGAGGTACAGAACCCTAAAAAGGAAAGAATGTTTTGAAAATTAATCAAGTGGTTGATGCTTACTTCAAATAGAAATCGATTACTTCATAACAGCGATTTCTTGCACTTCTTTAAATAGTTTTTGGAGTGTGTAAAAACCTTGTCACATGTAGTTTACCTGAAGGTTGTAAGTATAAGACTTACTATGGTTGTCAAATGATTTATCAAATCATCATGAGCGATATGCTTTAACTTCACCCCTCGTTTAGCCACCTCTAGTTCCCTGCATATAAATTTAAATTGCTTTCATCATATTAAAATCAGTATTAATGAGTATTGCGATCCTTAGAAATAATACCTAGACATGATACGCAACGGAAAATATATCAAATGAATTTAAATAGTTTTTGTTAGACACATGATAGTTTGAAATAGAATATCGTTATAACCAGTCAAATACAAAGATGTCCACCGTGACAGTCTATTCCAAAAAAAACCTCTCGTGTTCTAATAATTTATTAGTCATAATTTTCTTGTACTTGCATTTTTTGTTCGCAACTTCAATGGTATATAAGAAGCCATACATTTTTAGGACGTAGTAAGTTACTAAGCGTTCATCAGTTCACATCTCATTGTCAAGGTAGATAATATTAATGTATTTATTTATAGTTTGGATTTGGAATACGTAAATACCTTCCATTGTTATCTAGGAAAATAATTTCAAGTATTCATCATCATCATCAACAGCCTTTAATAGTCCACTGCTGGACATAGGCCTCTCCTTAGAAAGGAGGTTTTGGCCTACTATACCACGCTGTCCAGACGGGATGATAAAGGGTTTGTGTCAAGTTTTCCTTCTTTCTGCAGTGCTGTTGTCCTGCGTAGTTTGCTCCCTTAGTCGCCGCTTACGACACCCACGGGATGAATAGGGGTGGTGACAGTCTGTATTATTAATCCATCACCACACGGATAGTATTGACACCTTATATTTCAAATATTCACTGGATTGTTGGCTTAGTGGTTGGTGATAATGACTACTAAGCCAGAGGTCGTGGGTCCAGTTCCTACCGAGGACAAATATTTGTGTTATGAGCACGAATATTTATTGTTATGTGTCTGGGTATAATTATTTGCGTTATGAAATATATTTATTTCGAAATAAATAAGTTTGTTTCTTAGTAGACTGGTTACCATAGTTTGGGATCAGACGACCGTGTGTGAGAAAATTATGTATTATTTTATTTTGAATGCACGGACCCCGTAGCAGTTTAAGCGGTTTCGATCCCAACATGGGATACTACTTTGTGTGATCCACAAATTGTTGTTCTGAGTCTGGGTGTTCTTTGTGTCCGTTTCGTGTATGTCTGTAAGAGCCCGCGACACAGGGTATATATTCCTAACGCGGGAAAGATCTTTAAAAAAAAAAACAAAAAAAGTCAATTTTTCACCAGCGTATGATTCACAATCTTACCGTTAGGGTATGACTCTCTTAGTCAAGAGAATTTAATTGTCAGATTGAATTATTTAATAATATATAAAGCCCTTAATGTGATAACCATGCACTGCTTTAGTTTTTTTATTAAAACGATTTTTCGTGTCTTTTATTGTTGTATAACTGTATCTTCTTCTTGGTCTTGGTTGTTCCTGCAACAACTCAAAAAAATATGTTTTAAATAAACACTACATCAACTATTTTTCTTCAGATCATTACGATGAAGTCTGCTGTAGTGGTATGTGTGGTTTTCTTCACCGCTCTGGCTTTTGCGCGTCCTGGCGATGACCACTATACCGATCGTTACGACACTGTGGATTTGGACGAGATCATGAGCAACAAAAAACTACTCGTACCCTACATAAAGTGTATCCTCGACCAGGGCAAGTGCGCACCTGACGCCAAGGAACTCAAAGGTGAGTTTATATCTTTTAATATTTTAATAGAAACCTGCATATTTTACACTTTCAATACCATATAAAAAAGTCCGTAAATCTTATATAAACCATATTAGCAGTAGTCTTACTAAATAGATTTTAAATAAAATTTTAAAATGAACTCATGCCCAAAAAGCCTATTAGGTTACGCGATGTTAACAAACTCTTTCTCTTACTTAAGACAAACTTAACTTAACAAATAATTACTTAAGTAGTCACTTTCTATCTGATGACCCGGCTGCTCATTTTCCCCCACTTCCTTAAAAATATTTGGTTCCTAGCTCCTACTTCTGGCGCTTCGGGAGTGACTACTTATGAGGAACATACATCAACAATATATGGGCTTTAAAAAACAATTTCAGTCATAAAATAAGAATATTCAGAAAAAATGTATTCATCACAAACCTTTTCTTACTTCTTCTTTTCTAGAGCACATCAGAGAAGCACTCGAGAATGAATGCGGAAAATGTACTGATGCACAAAAGAAGGGTACTCGACGCGTTATTGCACATCTGATCAACAACGAGGAAGACTACTGGAACCAGCTCACAGTCAAATACGATCCCGACAAGAAATTCACTGTCAAGTACGAAAAGGAACTGCGTGAGGTTAAGGCTTAAATGGCTAAGCTTATCTCAGTCATAACTTGAGTTTTCATAAAAAAATGTGATACAACCTCAAAAAGAATAAATATGTATTTTTAAAACACTTGACTTATTTTTGTTAGTGTTTACCATCCACTTCTTCAATTTGACTACATGACCAGTCAACGGTTGTTGTTGCAATATAAAATTGAAGAACAACACGATAGGATCGATTTTTAGAACAGTTCGGCTTGTTTTAATTACATGACGCATAGTATATTATTACACCATATCGGAGTACTGTAAGTATATAGTAGAAAAAATGATGAAGGTCTCGGAAGACCAAACAACCGATCATAACTAATAATAATTATTTAAGTTTTAGTTTTTTGAACAATACTGTCAGCCACAAGCCAATTTTGGGGTAAGAATGACATAAGTACACAGTTCTGACTTTTTGGTTCTATTTTCTATTATAAGCAGCAAGTCTTAATGTCACTTATTACATTTATGTAATTATTGTCTCAGAAATGTACTAAACATAACCTATAAATCATTGTCATGATATATTATTAATGAAGTCCAGATCTATTTTGTGCTTAATTTTTCGTCCATTTTTCCGAGTTTATCCGAGTTCTCCTTAGCAGCAGCTTAAAAAGGTCTTCGTCATCAGAAACTAACCACGAAACGCTTAACACTGGAAATTTCAACCAAGAGTCCAAATCATCCACCATGAAACGTTGTAAAAAACGTACTCGCAATCAAAGCAAATAGAAAAAAAATGTTGCCAAAACGTTGAAAAATACTGGTCAGCAATACACTTCATTAAAAACTATTATTGCTAAAGCAGCTAGAATAATGGAGTAGACTAATTCAGATACTCTTGCTTGCATCAAAATTTATATATAGGCCACTTACAAAGACAGACAGATTATTTGGGATCTTGTGTGGGACTTCTAGAGCTATCGTATGGTAGAATAAAAGAATCTCGTAAAAATAATCCCAGGAAACCAAACACAGCTTTAATTTTTACAATGAAGGAAGTGAAATAAGAGTTTGCAAGAAAGTTTTTTTGAATACTTTGGGTATGAATGCAAGCATGAAGATGATGGACGGTAATATTATGAAAGATGATAGAAGAGGAAGACACGGCAAAGAAATCAGATTGGACGATGAAAAAAGCAATATGTGAAAGATCACATTAACTCGATCCCAAAGAAAAAAAAGCCATTATTTAAGAGCAAATACTAGTAGACTATTCGTAGAGAGAGATTTAATAATAGCAGAAATGCATAGAAATTACAAGACAAAACGTCAGGAAGAAAATAAACCTGAAGCGTATTATGATGCTTATGCTCTAAATTTTAACACAGAATTCAATATTGGATTTTTTATATCAAAAAAATATACCTATAAAAATACATCTGTCGAAGAGAAAGCAAAATTGGAAAATTACAAAATTAATTAAATCGACGGATATTAAACTTATAAGATTTATGAAGTGTTTTGATATTTATAAGTATCAAACTACGTACAAGACTGATAACTGGAATGAGATAAACATTCTCGAGCAAACCAGGACATTGCGAAAAAATACTACCCGACCAAAGAACGATAAAAATAAAGAAGAAGGCTTATACGTCTAATATACCGATAAGTGAAAAAAAAAATCTATTATTCAAAGCTGATCAAAGCTATGATTATTAAATGTAAGAGTAATTAAATACTAAGTACAACAATAGAACCATTAAGTTGATTTTTTTTTGATAACATCCATATACATCAACACTACATGTTATGGTAAAAAAAACCTTTGATTGTTTTTCTACAAGTTTTATTTCTAGCCTGTTAATTCCTAAAAAGGTTTGATTACGGATACTTAAATGTAAGAAATTATTCATAATTTTTAGATTTTTATTCATAATGTAGATTATTTTTACTAATTGAAAAAGTTAATTGGAAGTGTTATTTATAAGTTTCGAGTGTCAATATTTTGTTTAGTTCGACCTTTGTGCACAGAGAAGTTCCACTTTTAATTCAACTTTCTGCGCATTAACGTCATAAATGTAGATATCGTAATAAAAACAATAAATATCTGCCACCTACATACTTTTTTGAAACAACCTTAACTTTAAAATACAGAGTACCTATACAGAATATGTAGATCATCGATATATAATAGGATTATAAATACATTTAACTTTAATCAAACAAGTTTTAAATCGATCTCCAGAAAAAAACGTCATTTGATACTTAGGACGTTTTTGCACACGGTGTACGATGTGTGTTCATAAAATGTAAGGCAACGATATCAAACATTATTGAGGAAGTTTCTTCTGGTTCCTAACTTTAAGGATGAGACACGATTTAAATTACAATAAGTACAGAAGCATAACCAATTGTGAATTTTAGACAAACCATACTTTATTCTAGAATCGCCTTTTGATAATAGGTAATCATGTTGTGGATATGGGTTAGTATAATACACATTCTTCTTCTTCTACGCTCAACAGTCCGACTAAGTATTTTATGGTATTGGAAGGCAAACGAACAGACGGATCACCTGGTGGTAACTAAGTACCGCCGCCAATGGATACCTGAAACTCAAGAGTCACAAGTGCGCTGCCGTCCTTCGAGTTCTCACCCAGAATCAGGGGAAGGAAGGGTTAAAGCTCCGGTTACCTCACACAGTCAGTTAAAATCAACTAAAGAATTGTTTAACACCGGTTTTCTGTGAGGTCTGTGACTCCAGTCGCGCCGGCCCATTTATGACACAGTATGACTGTCCCACGTACTAAATGTCGATTGTGTCGATTATCACTCGTATCCAATATTTCAGGATTTGTTTCTCGCAGATTGTCACAAATAGTTATCCAAACTATTAAACTGTCGCGTTCCATGATAAATAATGATTGATTGTTTGATGTTTAATAGTACCAGCCTGTGACCACAATAAGGGAACCTGTTGAGAAATTCAAAAGTTTATAATACTTATTGATAGCGTTAATTTCTATTCGATTGTTCTGGGTAGTACGAGCTTACTAACACAAGTTATAAATAAATGAATCATATTTACACAATACCATCTAGTCCCGAAAAGCGATAAAAATAATAAAATCATCATATTTTGACCTCGTTTAATTCTTTCAAGATATTTGTTAGATGCTTGTGTGGGTTTACAGCGACAATGTACACAAGAAAATAAAAAAATAGATTAGAAAATATTTAGGACAAAATAAAGTGTTGTTACCCAATATTTGTATGTTTGTTACCTTAAACCCTTTAAAACCGATTTGGTAAATTGTTATGTAATTTGGAAATGTATATTTGCTCTTTGATTCAAATATAAAGAAAAAATACCACTCCTAATTGTGGAAATGAAGAAATGCAGAAAACAATTTTCGGTTTTAAATTTAACAGCTTAGATAGATAGATAGGTACTTTTTATTGCACACCATAATTAGGATACATGCGATGATACATATAAAAAAAGCCTAATAAAATAGTGTCTAAATAAAAGTCTAAATAAAATAGTGTTTTAAATATCGTATGTACTCATTACAATGTTTCTCACACTAAAAAATCTGATTTTTAAAGTTGAATCGAAAATTTAAACATTACTAACAAAGAGCACTAAAAATTAAAAAATAATTGCCAATCTAATTGAAAAAGTTAAAATATGTGCTACCCTCAATATAACGGGTAACATTATAATAGCAATAGATACTTTCTAGTCTTTTTGAAGCCCGATGCACAATAAGTAATACTGAGGGTTTATGCCAGCATAATATCAGCTCAATGAAGGATTCAATATAATTCTAATGAAACATTGCAGATTATGTTTATTAATAAGACCCTCGGAGCAGCTGTACCTAGCCTATCAAGTACCTATTTATTTTGGCTCCGACTACAAACAGATTAGAAGGTATCTATTGCTATTATAATACTGCCTTTAATATTAAGGGTCGCACTTGTTTAAATTTTTCAATTAGATTTGTAATTATTTTTTTCAATTTTAGTGCTCTTTCTTAGTATTGTTTAAAGTCGGTTCAACTTTTTAAAACGCGTTTATTAGCTTTGTATGTATGTAACCTAATCTTCCAAAGTATTTTGACCCACTTCAAAACGTCGAATCTAATTGAAACTTCGCACACTTATCAAAGACCGATGACATTACAATAATTTGATAAATTTGGCCGATTATCCTGATCTTTAGGATAAGGTGTTTTTTTTCATAGCTTAAACTATAGTAGTGTCTTTTGCTAGAGGCGTGTGTTGAAGAATATATCGCACCCTCGGTGCAACACAGTCACAACAGGTAATTTTGTAATTTTACAGGAACGGACTTTTAAGTTTTTTTTCGATCAATTTTCCTTTTTTCTAGATTACTAACTACAGCAGTCGGGATATCTCATTAAAATTATATTATTTGTTCTTTTAACTACAGTATCATGTAAAAAGATTTCTTTGATTTCATTAGAAAATTGAAAAAAAAGGAAACAAAAAAAAAAGTCGTAACTTGTGACTATGTCGCACCAGGTATAAATATAATTTAATTATTTGAGCGTTGTAATGGCACTTTGTTTTTTTACTTTAAGCTGGTGTAGCTCCAAGTCACGACTGACTCATGCGGGCGCGGGGTCACTACTTACTAATCATACTCTGTTCTCCCAATATTCGTCGAAAAAGTAGCAAGAACCACAAAGGCATTAATGCCATCTATCGATATGTTCAAATACTTTCGCGGCTGTCTTTGATTTCCCAAACGAAGAAATGGTTTATAGACAATTTGGCATACTTAAGTCATTTTGGCAATTTTGCCTACTTGTGACTTTGTTGCACCGAGGGTGCGATATGACTTACTTACATGTTACTTTTATAGTCTTAATGAGAAAATAATCATTATTAATTACTAAAAAAGCAAAAATAAATTATACTTTAAAGAAACTAAAAAACATATTTTTGAGACTAACCGAACTAAAAAGCAGAAAATAATTTTGCGTATTTTGCAGAAAATAAGCGTTGGGTGCTTTTTAAGATATTTTATAACAGACAGACATTTTTTTTATGACAGATATCGGTAAAAGTAAAGTTATTATACTTTACTTTCACCAAGATCTGTCAATAAAATGTCTCAAAAATTAAGATCTAGTAGTCTTATTTTTATTTTTTTATAAACTTTAATGTATTTTCAAACAGAATGTACTTATAAATACATACATATTATATATATTACATCTGTCATACCCGACCAAATCAAACATTTATGTTCATACACACAAATGTTTGACTTGTAGTCAAGTCTTTGTATCTTACAAGCGTATTGTATTTACAACATCAGATGTAAACAAATATCAAACAAGGCTGAGTCTGTGACTTATGGTAACCAGAGTATTAAACCGCCGTGGGTTTGATTTCCACACTAGACAGTCCTTGGTATAGTTCTTCTATAATACGTACAGTGTGTAGAAATATTTGTAATATGTTGTTGAAGCAAAAGTATGTTTATCAGTAGTCTAGTTACCATAAAGCACAGGCTCTGGCAGCTCTGGCTTATCAGTTGAGATCAGCTTTTGAATATCATACCATCAACGTATAATACGTAAACGCAATAATACATTCTATTAACGTTGTTCTTAGACACCTGCCACTTTTGACTAGACTATCGAAAAAAGCAGTCAAGTACGCAGTCGTTTAAGTACATTGCCTCTAATAAAAAAATATCATCTGATAGTACCTATTATTACTCGTAATGTTTTTTTACATGTTTTTTTTTCTCAACTTCAATAATATAAAAGCACCAATCGTTTTGTCCGTTGTAGTAGGGTGCTTAGCGCTTCATCGGTCAACATCTCATAACAAGGTAGATAATATTTGTTTGTTTATAATTCTATGTAGAAATAAATTTTCATAAGCATTGTTATTACGTAATATAGAAAATTTTACAACACTACTGATGGCCAATTTTTTCTCCAGATTATTGCAATGAAGTCCACGGTAGTATTCTGTGTGTTATTATTCGCTGCTCTGGCTCTGGCGCGACCGAGTGATGATCACTACACTGATCGTTATGACAACGTGGACTTGGACGAGGTTTTAAGTAATAGAAGACTACTTGTACCTTACATCAAGTGTGTCCTCGACCATGGCAAGTGCGCACCTGACGCCAAGGAGCTCAAGGGTGAGTTTACATTCTTAATTTTGGATATGTAGAAATTTCCATAGGTACTGAAACTACACCTTTTACTAAATACTACTATCCACTGTCAGTATTGATATCACAGTTTTATTAATGCTGATAAAATCACAAACCTATTATTAATTAAGTAGTCAGCTAGTTCAACTGACTCCAATTATTAATTTATTTATTAATTCACTCCAGTCAGAGGATAAAACAACGACAAAAAATTGTATTAACCACACACAAATTCTCACTTTTTCATTTAAAATAACAATATATGGGTCTAGGTAAACGACTCAAGTCAGAAAATAAGCATATTCTAAAAAAAACCTTATTACTTCGTCTTTTCTAGAACACATTAGAGAAGCACTCGAGAATGAATGCGGAAAATGCACTGATGCACAAAAGAAGGGTACTCGACGCGTTATTGGACATCTGATCAACAACGAGGAAGACTACTGGAACCAGCTTACAGTCAAGTACGATCCTGACAAGAAATTCACTGCCAAGTACGAGAAGGAACTGCGCGAGGTCAAGGCTTAAGTGGCCATAACTTAGCATCGTCTCTGCAATATCTCCAGTTTTCATGAAAACATGTGATATAAACCTAAATAATAATATTTTCATATTTTTATTGTGATTATCATACTACTTAACCTTACTACCGTTGATCTATATGTATAAAAGAGGAAACTGACAGACTGGTTCACTGATCATCGCACAGTTGAAACCGCTGAAATTGCACCCCTAAGGGCGCAAGATAGGGCTTGGAAATTTATATGAAACTTCGTTATTTTTGGTAGTAGCATTTTCAAACTCACAGTAAATACTCTTTATTGTAATGTGATGTCACACATTGCACCCGTACGAAGCTGGGACAGGCCGCCAGTATACTTATAAATACATGTGGCAGAATAGTAAAATAAAGTGATTTAAAGTTCCACATTGCAACATTTTTTTATAAAAAGTTTAATCTAAATTACCTACTAAAAAGATAAAACATAAGATTACTCTTCACGTTAAAAGGAAAATGGAATAGACTTTCTTAATCCGAATACTGACTGTCACCATCCTTATTCATCCCGTGGATGTCGTAAGAGCTGACTAAGGGAGCGAACTACGCAGGTCAACAGCACTGTAAAGCCAATATCCCCTTTTTTTTTTTTAACGTGTGGAAATCCCCTCGGACCGTCACCCCACCGGGGTTTGAGGCGGGGTGGTGTGTCGGACTCGGACCGACTAAAACCACACGGTGTGCCACTCTGCGCGTGTAATAGGAGGGATCCGGGAACAGCTGTTATTAAGACATCCGGACCCCTCCTAGCGCCGGCCCGCTCCTGTTGCGGGCTCCGTCTCAAAAATTATTTCCTCTCTTTAGGCGACGTCCGGCACATGCGGACGCCGCCCCCTCGCGGCTGGCCAAACTAATGCGGGTGGAGGGGAAACCCACCCCGTCCACCCGCGGCCACACTCAGGGCGGCATGAGGCGGTGATAGGCGCGCCTCCGCCGCCCGGTCCGGATCGGGTCCGAGTGGAGGTCGTCCTCCCGGGCCTTCTCCGCGAGATTACTTCCTCGCAGAAGGTTGGGACCGCGGTAAAACAACTGTCGCTACCGGCCATGCAGCGTACTACGGCCGGTAGCGAGAGATCCACTCCGATGACTGCAGTGAGGGCCCGGCGCTGCGTCGCCCATGCGGGGCAGACCGCCAGCGTGTGCTGGGCCGAGTCCTCACTGCAGTCGCAATGGTGGCAGGCGGGACTCAGTTCCCTCCTAGCGACCGAGTGCAGGTACTTTCCGAAGCAACCGTGCCCGGAAAGCACCTGCGTCAGCCGGAAGGTAAGGGTCCCGTGCTGCCGCCCTGCCCACTCGGCGATGGCCGGCTGGAGAGCCTCCACGGCAGCGAAGCCAGCGCGTGGAGTCTCCAGCCGGAACCATCGTGGCTCGGCGAGCGGCTTCGCGCCACTCGCGCACGTCTTCGGGCGGAGGGCGAAATCCGCTCTCCGCCCGAGAGTCAGCCACTCGCCGATAAACTTCGGCGAGCACTTCCGCCTCCAAATCCCACGGGGGAGTTCCGGCCAACGCGCACGCCACCTCCGTCGAAACGGTGCGGTAACCGCGTATGGCTCTGACCGCCATTACCCTCTGAGGGCGCCCTATTCTGGGCGGTCAGAGCCGCCGCCCACACCGGTGCACCGTATAGTGCCATTGACCGGACAACCCCCGTGTACAGCCGTCTTGTCGCGACGCTGGGTCCACCCAAATTGGGCAAAAGTCGCCCTAGCTTTGGAGCAAGCTGTCGGAAGTGCTCGTCGAAGAGCTACCTCCCGTCGAGGATCAGGCCCAGATATTTCATCTGGGCCCGAACCGGTACGAGGACCGAGTTGACCACGATTGAGGCGCCAGGGGTGGACCACGACGGGGCCCATGAAATAACAGGGCCTCCGTCTTATCTAGGGCCACCCGTAAGCCCAGCGCCTCAATGCGCCCGACCACCAGGAAGACTCCCCTTGTGGCCAGGCGCGCCGCCTCTTTGAAGTTCGCCCCCCGGGCTGTCACCAGAGTGTCATCAGCGTAACAAATTACACCTAGCCCGGGGGGGAAATCGGCTCGAAGGGCCCAGTCGTACCCTATGTTCCACAAGAGGGGTCCAAGAACAGACCCCTGTGGAACACCGCACGACATGGGCCGACACCTCGAATTACCCTCTCGGTCCTCGTACACGACGGTACGCTCCTCTATATAGTCTGTCACTAGCCGCCTCAGGTACTTTGGCACCCCATGATAGTGGAGTGCTTCCCTGATGCAGCTGAATGGCAGACTATTGAATGCGTTGGCGATGTCCAATGACACCGCCAACAGCACGCCGCCACAGCTCACGGCCTCTTCGGTCACGGCCCTCAGGCGCAACACAGCGTCGACTGTCGAACGCCCCGCCCGAAAACCAAATTGGGCGTCCGACAGATCGGGGCCCACCTCGTAGAGGTGCCGGACGATGCGGGCAGAGAGAACCCTCTCAAACAATTTACCCGCCTCGTCCAGCAGCACGTCCCGACGCCAAGCTAGCGTCGAACACCTCCCCGAGGCGGTCTGCCATGTGGTTGAGGGCTAGGGCCAGCACTCGGGCCGGTACCCCGTCTGGCCCAGGGGCGGTGTTCTTGGAACGGATCCGTAGAACAGCCGCCCCTACCTCCGAATCCCGGACGGGCGGAACATCATCCTCCTCGTGCTCCCCGTCGTCTCCGGCCAAGGAGGCCATCGCCGGGGGAGTGTTTTCCGCTCGTTGCGGGAAAAGGCCCTCAACCACTTCTCGCAGGAAGCTGAAGCCAATATCCCCTATACCAACCCGTCTGGCCAGCGTGGTATAGTAGGCCAAAACTTCCTTTCTGAGGAGAGGCCTATGTCTAGCAGTAGACTATTTAAGGCTGTTAATGTTAATTATCAAAAAACTGTATCATAAAATTTTGTTGTCTTATGTACCTTTTTTTTTTTTTTTTTGTTCCGTGCGGAAATCCCCTCGGATACCACCTGTCGGTGGCATGTCGGACTCGAACCGACTAAAACCGCACGCCTTCGCCGGGTACTAATAGCCGGGGAACCAGGTATACCCTAGAAAGGAAGGCCCTGGTGCCCCGACATACCTCGGGTCATCTACAGACGAGTAGACGACCCCCGCCCCGTGTGGGAACCCCATGTTCCCTGTGCTCCCTGGAAGCGAGCGCGCTTCGCAACGCGCTCGCCGCCACCCCGGCCTGCTTCTGCTAGGGTGACAGATGGCCTCACCTGTCACCCCCAGGCCTGCGCTTATGGAGGACGGAGGTCGTTCTGCGACCTCCGGCGCCTGAGTCGCCTGCGCTGCCTGGCCCGTACCCGGGCCTGGCGGGCCGGGAGAGTTCTAAACCTCTCCCGGTCCCGCTCCGCCGTCTCCTTCGCGAGCATAACTTGCTCGCAGAAGGAGACGGCAGAGTTCCACGCACTCTCGCTCCGCACGATAGCCGCAATCAGGCTATCGAGCGAGAGAACTCCCACTCCGATGGCCGCCACGAGGTCTCGCCTCTGCTCAACCCACGCCGGGCACTCTGCCAGCGTGTGGAGAGCCGTGTCCACGGTCTGGCCATCGCAGTGGTGGTGTCTTATGTACCTAGAATTCAAAGTTCTAATATCAGTATCAGTATTAGATAATTATTTTTAGATAGTTAATATATTTCTATAACTGTGTCCTTTCTATCTGATACTTCAAAGTATGTAGAATGCGCCCACTATCTATACGCAGAGACGTTTTTGATACATTATTTCTATTAAAAATCGTGAGAAAGTTAATTCATTGTCCAGATTTACTGCAGCTTAGTGCAGCAGAGATAGAAAAAATTGTCGGGCATCCATCTCTCTCGTTGCCTGAATAGCTTTCACACACAGGCAGCTGCACTCTGTGTTCTCTGATAGGATCTCTCGTGATAGCTTTGCTAAATTTTATAAGTGCATTATCAGCATGTTCACACAAAATGATTACATTGTATTGTTGATTCAATTGTAATAGTTTTTTTGTTAAAGCCATAAATGAAAATTCATTTAATTATGGTTCTCTTTTTTTTTAGTGTCAATTTGATTCAGAATTAACCAATTTGTATTTTAATCTTGATTTTAATTTTATAACTAAATTTTATTTTAAGTTTAATTTGTATAATTTTGATTCATTTTACATAACCTAACTTACTTGTTACATAATTTGATTTCATATCTATTTAATGCATAATATGAAGTGCTCATTTAAATAAGTAAAGGGTCGCTTTAAATCAATTGTAAATAATTTTATTAAAAGGATTCTTTAGAATGATTGCACAAGTTGTCACTCACTCATCCACCACGGCACCACTACATTTTTCGGCATAAAAAGTAGCCTATTCCAGACTAAAATCTATCTCTGCGCCAAAGAAATATGGCAGAAACATATTTACTAAAACTTGAGAGTTTAAAAAATTGACTCACAGTAATCTTAATAAATATTTTTTCTATGATTTATCATTACACCAGCACGTGTTGTATATATATGTCTTATAAGAGATATTTTTGAGAACTTATTTGACCTAAGTACGTAATGTCAGATTCGCCATTACGTACAACTGACTAGGGATGCGTAGAATAGGATAGAATATATTTTATTTTGCAAATATGAGTAATACATGATATGTGTTACAGTACATTAAAGCTTAGCCATATTTTATATTTATTTATGACTTTATGCACAAATGTGTCCATCGGCGGACTTAAAGCCTAAGGCATTCTCTGCCAGTCGACCGATTGACCGATGCAGAAAAAGAGTGAGGTAGGTTTATGGGGATAAATGATAGAGTTCTTATACAGTACTATCTGTACTTCGAATAGACAGGCAAATTTATACCAGTAGCTTGCAATTTTTTTTTTGTATTAGACTAAGTAAACATACTCTTTATATTCAAATCCACAATAATAATTATGTTAAATCTTAACATTAGGTAATAAAAATCAATAATGACACAATAGTAAACATGCAGCACAAACTGCACAT